TAAAGAAACATTTAAATATTTAAAAATAAATAAGTAATAGGGGCGCCTGGGTGGCTCAGTTGGTTAAGCGTCCGACTTCGGCTCAGGTCGTGACCTCACGGTTTGTGGGTTCGAGCCCCGTGTTGGGCTCTGTGCTGACAGCTCAGAGCCTGGAGCCTCCTTCAGATTCTGTGCCTTCCTCTCTCTGCCCCACCCCCACTCATGCTCTGTTTCTCTCTGTCTCAAAAAATAAACATAAAAAGAAAGAAAGGGGCTCATTTTAGTGTTCAAGGCAACAGGAAAGTCACAGTAAATTCCCTTTGCTCTGCACTACACAGGCACTGTCCCAAGTGGCTATTTCCATTTATTTATTTAAAGTTGTTTATTTTTTTTATTTTGAGACAGAGAGCAAGCAGGGGAGGGGCAGAGAGAAGGAGAGAGAGAAGAAATCCCAAGCAGGCTCCACATTGTCAGCGCAGAGCTTGATGTGGAGCTTGAACCTATGAACTGTGAGATCATGACCCGAACGGAAATCAACAATCGGACCCTTAACCCACCGAGCCACCCAGGTGCCCGCCCCTATTTCCACTTAAACATAAATATGTCTGCATGTGTCTATTTCCATTGAAATATAAATGAGTTATAGTAAATTTGTGCCCAATAGCCACAAGCACCTGGCGGCAGTTGTATCGAGCTGCAGAAATCCAATGCATTGCCACTGTTACAAGAAGTTTTAATGGACACCCACCGTGAAGACTTCAGAAAAACTCTTTACTCATTGTTTTCCTTGTGACAAAACAATTCATAGTCATTGTAAAAGGCAAAATTCTAAAACTACAGAAATGTTTAGCACGGTGGAAGGTGCAACAAAATCCCCCTTGAAAAAAAATTGGGGCGCCTGGGTGGCTCGGTCGGTGGAGCGTCTGACTCTTGGTTTCAGCTCAGGTCATGATCTCAGTTTTGTGAGTTCGAGCCCCGCGTCTGCTTGGGATTCTCCCTCTCTCCCTCTCTCTCTGCCCCTCCCCTGCTGGTGCTGTCTCTGTCTCTCAAAACAAATAAATAAATTTAAAAAAAAAAAAGCATATGGCTTTATGGCTTTTGGCAAACAATATCCCTGTGTCACCAGCAACGAAACGAGGTGGGGCACCTTCCCTGCCCATCCCTGGGTCCCTCCCCTCACTCCCCCCAAGTGCTCTCCTTACGCATCTTCCTCTGTTTTTCCTCTAGACTGTTCCACCAGGAGATCATGGGTGGCTTTCAGAAGGTTTTGCAAGTCCCAGAAATATACACGACGTTGTATGTTTCTGAGCTAAAGGTCTCTTACTCCTCAGTTCTCCAGAGGGGTCTGTGAGCCAAGAGGCAAATAAGTGGAACGATAAATAAGTGCAGCGATGTCTTTGTGACTGGCTTAGGTCGCTTAGCATAACGTCCTCAAGGTTCATCCCGGTACCAGGTGGCAGAATTTCCTTTTTAAGACTGAATAATCTCCCATCCGTGGACACTTGCTTCCACCTTTTCGGCTATTGTAAACAAGATGGGGTGTAGAAATACCTTCAAGGCCTTGCTTTCAATTTGGGGGGGGGTATTTACCCAGAAGTGAAATGGCTGGGGTATTCTATTTTTAATTTTGTGAGGAAACTGCCACGTTTTCCATAGCGGCTGCACCATTTTACATTCCTACCCACGGTGCACCAGAGTTCCAACTTCTCCGCATCCTGGCCAATACTTTTTTTCTTTTTTAATAGTGCCCATCCTCGTGTCTGGGAGGTGTGGTTCTTGCTTCGGAAGGGCTTTGCTTTTTGGAAAGGAGATGAGTCACCTTTTTTTTTTTTTTTTTGACAGGAGCACTTATATCTGTCAGGCTTTGGTTGTGCAATCCCGTGAATGGCTCACCTCGTGAACATCCCACCCCAGCTGATAAGAGAGAGCTATCCTTAGCCCAGGGTTTAGAAAAGGGTAAGAGCTTGCCAAGGTCACGGGTAATCTACGGAAGCCCTGATGTCTTCTCTTTATTTCACTCTGCGTTGTTAAGTAATCCACCACCTGTAGGCTCAGAGCACCCGAGCCCCTGTCCCCAATCTTAGCACGAATGCTCAGCCAAGGGAAGAGTGAGCATCGCTGGCCACCATTGCTGTCTCTGGGGACCCAGGGGACCCAGCTTCATGCCCACACGCACTGATAGTTCTGCAAGAGTGTCCTCATTTCTACATCTGTTAGCGACTCCACGAGACAGGCTGGGCAGTTAGATTCCTCACCTAAAAACCTGGGGCTGGCCTTCTGGGGTCCCAAACCCAAAATATGCACAAAATCCAAAATGCGCATGGATGTGGGGTGTGTTTCTCGAGGAAGAGCCTGTCTCCTTGCTTTTGTCTGATTTCAAAGGGATCTGTGACCTGGGCGAGACTACATAAATATATTCGTCCGAAGGGTGTCCCCAGCCGGACCACTGTAAAAATATAAAAACAGCCCTTGAGGGGGAGGGGGGGTTGCTTGGCAAAAACCATTTCATGAAAGTAAGCTCTGAGGAGGAAGGTGGCCCCAGGCCTGTGGTTGGGGACCTGACTGCTCTGTGGTAGCTTCTCTCCGAACTCCCTGGCTGTGCCTACTCTGTTTTCCTGGCTTCCCCCTCTTTACTGTAATTTCTACAGTTGGAGGGTCTCCGAGCTTGGTCCTTGGACCCTCCTCCTCATTATTCCGTTCCAGGGTGGTATCATCTAGTCTCAGCTGCATCCGGCAACTGGCTTTTATTCCCAGCCCAAACATCTCTACAGACTCACAGCCAAGCGCCCATCTTTTCGATAGCTCCACGGGGCCTTTCCCCAGCTGCTGAGAACTCCCCGAAACCTTTCGCTTCATGGAGCCCCTCCCTTCCGTGCCTGTCCCTTCCCCTCTTGGCCACTAGCACTGATGTGGCAAACAAAGGCAGAAGGAAATGGCAGAGAGAAATAAATTTCCTTATAACCTGCAGCCCGTTGGCAAATCCTACTTAATGCCTTAAGTGCTTCCTGTTACACCTGAATAGAGTTTCAGGGCCCCCCGAAACCCTCTTCCTACTCTTCTCCAGCCACTTGGACCTCCTCACTATTCCTTAAACAAATGAAAAATTTCCCCACTACCCTGCCCTTTGCATATTCTTTCTTCTGCCTGACGCTGGTTTCCCAACAGCTTTTCATCACTCAGATCCTGGTTCATGGTTCATATGGCCCCCGCCCAGGGAGTCCGTCCCTGACCACCTGACCTGAAGCCACTTCCTTCCCCACCTCAAACCCTAGTGACGCCATCCCGGACCCTGTTTGAGTGCCTTCAAAGCACCTGTTCGTATCTAAAGTGACCCTGTTCATTCATTTCCTTGCTTACGGTGCGGTCTTGCTATTAGATCAGTGGCCTCTGACGTCTTTTGTGTGACCTACATAAAGACAGAAATTTCACATGTGACCCAGTGATCCAGGTGTTAAGGCTGTGTAACATATAATTCTCAAATTTACTGCCTTTAAATAATGGCATTGATCTTTTTTTTTTTTTTTTTCAAGTTTATTCACTCTGAGAGAGAGCACACAAGTGGGAGAGAGGGAGAGGGAGAGAGAATCCTAAGCAGGCTCTGGACTGTCAGCGCAAAGCCTGATGTGGGGTTTGAACTCACGAACCTTGAGATCATGACCTGGGGCAAAGTGGGACGCTTTACAGACGAAGCCACCCAGGTGCCCCAACAATGGCGTTGATCTTGCTCACAGATCTTTGGTTTCAGCAGGACCCTGCCCCTCTCGGTGTCAGCTGGGATGGCTGGGAGGCTGTGGACTGGAATGATTTCAATATTCCCTCACTCACCTGTCTGATGGTTGGATTCTGTCTTCTGCTGTGACCTTATCTGTGAGACTCACCTCGGCTTCCTCACAACACAGCAGCTGGGCTCTGAGAAAGTATCCCAAAATTAAGAGAAAGCAAAAGGGAGTACAAGCTAGCCCCAGGCAGAAACCGTACCCTAGTTTCTGATCAAGGCTTGTAGTAATTCACACAGTGTCCTTTCTGCCACATTTTATTTGTTGCACAAAGTCCTGCTGAGGTTCAAAAGGAGGAGGATGGGAGTCTGCCTCTTGACGGGGAGTGGCAAGGTTGGAACTATTTCTGTAGCCATTTTTTGCAAATATAATCTGCCACACCCAGTACACAAATGCGAATTTTGGAGTTCCCCAAAACAATAGTTAACTTTCGGTACACAGTGCACAGATTTTTTTCCCCCATTGTATTTTGTAGAAAATGCTGGTCATGACCTGTTGAATTGATTTCTTTACCTCAGTTTGAGAAACTTGCCACATAAACGTGCAGCTTGTCTTTTCTCTACCCTAACCCTTCACACAGTATGGTGTTTGGTCTCAGTTAGGCTAAGTGCCTTACCTGCTAGTGTTCTACGTGTGTTTTATTTAACGCCTTAATATAGTGCTTACCGAATACCAGGCACCGTCCTCACTTATTCCTCGCGCCAACTCTTAAGTGGGCACTATCGTGACCCTCATTTTCCTGAGAAGGAAACTGAGGCACAAAGAGATGAAGTCATTTGCCCAAGGTAACAAAGCTAGTAAGTGGGATTCGAATCCGATAAATCTAGTTGCAGGCTCCATTTTGCTATGGAGCCTCTCAGGGAATTTACTTATTTATTATGTTTATTGTGAGTATCCCACGCACGCACTGTAGAACGAAATGCAGTCCAACGCTTCGCCCCTAGAACCCCGCCCTGGCTGCAAGACGGTCTCTGCAGCTAAGGACTCATAAACAGCTTCATTATCAGCCAGGCGCTTTCCGACCTGCGCAGGCGCAACACTCAGAACTCCCGCAGGGACACACCCCCGCTCCCAGCGGCCGATTGGCCATTGTCTGAGACAGACGGAGGAGCTGGCGCAGGCGCACTGGACCAGACCTGAAGCTAAGTCCCACCCATTATCTGATGACTGACGTAAGATCAAGCTAATGGGAACAGGGCTCTCCGGGGAAGGGGCGGGCAATGAGGGCAGTTAAATTTGCGCGGGCTTGGTCCTGGCGTAGTCATGGCGGCCTTCCGCGACATGGAAGAAGTGAGCCAGGGGCTGCTGAGCCTGTTGGGCGCCAACCGCGCGGAGGCGCAGCAACGGCGGCTGCTGGGGCGCCACGAGCAGGTGGTGGAACGGCTGCTGGAGACGCAAGACAGCGCCGAACAACGGCTGCGAGGTCAGGGCTGCGGCCGGGGGCGGCCGGGACCCGGGCCCGTGTGATGGGAGGGGGCGGGAGGTCCGCCTTGACGAAACCCTCCCTCCTGGGCGCCCCCATCCCTCCCCTGTTCTCCCTTGGGCGCTGCCCCCTCTGGGCCTCAGTTTCCCCACCCGTGAAATGGACTTCAGGATGGCAGCCACCTCCCAGAGAGTTAGTGGTGAATATAGGAGCTGGCAGGAACTGGCAAATTCCGAGCGGTCCACGAGCAGGAGCTGGGGGAACTCAAGGTTCGAACTGGGGCTCCGGAGTCAAAGCGCTGGGCTTTAATCCCAGCATCCCCACTTACTGAGGTTCAGCTGTTTTACTGAGCACCTGCTGTGTGCCAGGCATAGTGCCAGCCCCGGGTTGGAAGCAGAGAACAGAACAGACAGTCCCTTAAAGGGTTGGTATACTAGTGGTGGGGTGGTCAGGCGACGAACAAGAAAAATGGAGGGGCACCTGGGTGGCTCAGTTGGTTTGGCATCTGACTTCGGCTCAGTTCGCCCTGGTCGTGAGTTCGAGCCCCCCCATCGGGCTCTCCGCTGTCAGTGCAGAACCCCTTTGGATCCTCTGGCCCCCTGTCTCTGCCCCACCTCTCCCACTCAAAAATAAACAAACATTTTTTAAAAAGAAAGAAAGAAAAATACTTATGTCAGGAGATGGTGGGCTAGGAAACTAGGTTGTATAGGAGGGAGTGGTGATGCTTTGGGATGAGTCAGCGAAAACTTTCTGAAAAGATGATATTTTAGCGGAAACCCAAGGAGGTTTGGGAGGGATCCAGGGCTATGGTGAGGATTAAATAAATTGGAGGGAGTGCAAGTTGGGGAGGGGCGGAGAGGGGGCGACAGAGGATCCAAAGTTCGCTCTGCTCCGCACGGACAGCAGCCAACCCGATGCAGGGCTCAAACTCACGGACATTGAGATCGTGACCTGAGCCAAAGTCGGACGCTCAACCAATTGAGCCACCCAGGTGCCCCAAATTTCCTTCCTTTTGAGGGATGAATAATTTCATAGTCCGGACATACCTCATTTTGTTTGTCCATTCCTCCACTGATGGGCACTTGGGTTGCTTCCAGACCCTGGCTGTTGTAAATAATGCCACCATGAACACATGAACATGGGTGTACAAATACCTCTTTGGGTCCCTGCTCCCAGTTCTTTTTGTATTTTCCCAGAAAATTTGTATTTTCTTTGTGTATTTTTCTCTTTTTTTCTTTTATTTTAAAAAAAAATTTTTTTTTTCAACGTTTATTTTTGGGACAGAGAGAGACAGAGCATGAATGGGGGAGGGGCAGAGAGAGAGAGGGAGACACAGAATCGGAAACAGGCTCCAGGCTCTGAGCCATCAGCCCAGAGCCTGACGCGGGGCTGGGGCTCGAACTCACGGAGTGCGAGATCGTGACCTGGCTGAAGTCGGACGCTTAACCGACTGCGCCACCCAGGCGCCCCTGTATTTTTCTATTTTGTATTTCCCATGCTAAATCACATGGCAGTTTGATATTTCGTTTTTTGAGAGACTCATCCAGTTTTCCATAGTGGTTTCGGTGCCAGGTTTTTGTTTTTCTTTTTTCTTTTTTCTTTTTTTTTAAGTCTTTTTACAGTTATGTTTTATGTGGCCATGCTGTCTGGCTTGGGACTGAAATGATCTAGGAGCTAGGCAGGGGATGGCTTGGGGGTGGGGGGGAGAGTGTTCCTGGCAGAGGTAACTGCAAAGGCAAAGGTCGCCAGGTAGGAGTGAACTTGGACACCCAGGAGAAAGTGGAAGATGAGCTGTAGCCAGACCCTGTAGGCAGTGAACTGCCCCCCCCAACCCTGGGAGTTTGGAGGTTGTTCTAAGTGTGATGGATGCCCAGCCAGAGTCTTCTCCTTCTCTCCTCCTCCTCTCTCTCCTCCGCACTCCATTCACTCCTTCTCCATTGATGGTTTGGGGAGAAGATCATTATTACCCAGGCTGCGTGGGCTTCAGCAGAATGAATGGATTTGGGGCCAGGGAGACAAGAGTCCGTGTTCCAGGGAGCCGGGACTTTGAGTTAAAGGGCTCCAGTTCAGATCTATGTGCCTGTGGACAGGCCACTTTAATATCTTCAGGCTTCTGTCCTTCATCTCTCCATGGGGGCAGGGGTTAAGCCACCTCCCTCAGAGGGTTTTGAGAACATACTGAACAGGGGCTCCGGGGCTATCCTGTAGCACTCAGCACACGCTCAGGTAATGGTACTTTGTGACAGTGCCCCCGGGGAAGAGGGCACTCCCAGGGAAGAATCCAAGGAAACAAGGTTGTCTGGGGAGGGTGAGGGGAGAAGGGGCAGGAAGGCTGCAGAAGAAAGCCAGACCCTCGGCTATCCTAACAGGAAATCAGCAGGCACTGTTTAAAACAGACAAATCAAGAAATAGCAGCCTAAGCAAATTATTTAGAAACACGAACGTCAATGCCAGAGAAAACAGTGATGATTTGGAAGTGGCTGCTTCAGAGGCGTGGGGAGGCTTGGGGAGGGGGGGGGGGCCTGTGTGTGTTTAAATTTTCACAGCCATATACATGTAACACCTTGATTAAAAATGAACTCGATGTAAGTTTGTAAACACTTAAACGCCTGCCCTTTGGGAAGTGTTTCCATCTGTGCCTTCCCTGAGTTGGCAGGTTCCTCCAGCTCTATGGGAAGGAACACGGTAAACTTGCTAGGGTGTTTTTGATCTTTCTGGATGTTTTGGTCAAAGCATGTTTATTCTGATTAGGCGCTGGAGATATATGGGGACTGTAAGACGCAGTCCCCGATTCGAGCGAGGAGGAGGAGGAGGAGGAATGAACAATTCAGTGCCGCCGGGCTGTGGTGGAGGCGTGGCCGCGCCCTGGGAGGGAGAGCAGAGTGTCCAGCTGCCCCGGTTGTGTATTACCCAGGAGGTCTCGAAGGCTGGGTCTCCGAGCACCCGAAGGGTGGGAGCATAAGGGCATCTCTGAGAGGACGGGCAGGTGGAGGCCGGGCCTGTGAAAAATGGGCATGTTTGCAGAATGGTGAGGTGTCTTTGTGGCCAGAGCAGAGAGGAAAGTACAAGGTGGGTTGAAAAGCAGGAAGAAAGGAGGCTGTCAAGGAAGAGGATGCTTTCCGTCATTCGTTCCTTTGTGGGGTTTTGTGGAGGCTCCACATGTGTTTTGGTGAAATGCAAGCACTTTTGCAAGGTCTCGGTGGACCACCAAAACGTGGGCTTTTGGAAATAGGACCAATGGGTTGGGGAGCTGTAGACGGGGAAGTGAGGACGATCGTGGTTGAGGCCTCGGGCTCTTCTGGGGCAAGGCCAGACCCTGGAGAGACCTCCTCCAAGGGTCTCAGCCTTCTCTCTCCCGCCCCGCCCCGCCCCGCCCCGCCCCATAGAGATCCTGGCTGCAGAAGAAGAAGTGGCCCAGAGCCTTCTGGATGCGAAGGAGCGGGCGCACCAGGGGGGCGCCGAGTTGCAGCAGCTTGAAGCTGAGCTCCGGAAGGCCGGCGAGGAGGACACCCGTCTGAAGGCCAGCCTCCTATATCCTTCCTTGCGTGCGCGGACGGCCGGGCCTCGGGCTCACCGCCGGGGTGCCCGTTTGGTCGTGCTGGGAACCCAGCTCGGAGCCCTGGGCCCACGGCGGCCCCCGTTCCAGAGCGAGGTGACCTTAACTGCCTGCTTTACTCAGCTCACCAGAGAGCTGGAGGAGCTCAAGGAGACCGAGGCCAGTCTCGAGAGGCAGGAGAGGGAAGTTGACGAAGACACGACTGTCACCATCCCTTCGGCCGTGTAGGTCCCGCCAGTGCGTGTGGTGGTGCCTGCCCTGCGTGCACGTGGGTTGTCCCGCGGCCCTGAGTTGGAGTCTACGCTGGGGTAACTTAATCTCTCTCTCTCTCTCTCTCTCTCTCTCTCGTGTTCTCATACAGGTATGTGGCTCAGCTTTATCGCCAGATTAGCAAAATTGAGTGGGACTATGAGTGTGAGCCAGGGATGGTCAAAGGCAGTATCCTTTTGCAGAGAACGCGGAGCCCAGTGTGCTGCCGGCGGCCTTGTGAAGGGCTGGGCCGTTGTGGAAAAGTCTGGCAGGTCCTCAGAAATGAAGCGTAGGGTCACCATATGACCCGGCAGTCCCCCTTCTGGGTTGCACCCTTGTGTTTGTGACTGCGGTGGTCACAGTGGCCGAAAGGTGGAAGCAGACCAATTATCAGCAAAGTGCTACATAAGCAAAATGTGGTATATCCGTGCAATAAAATAGTATTCGGCCTAAAAAGGAAGGAGGGGCGCCTGGGTGGCTCAGTCTGTTGAGCAACCGACTCTTGATTTCAACCCAGGTCACGATCCCAGGGTCGTGGGATCGAGCCCCATGTTGGACTCTGTGCTGAGCCTGGAGCCTGCTTAGGATTCTCTCTCCCTCTGCCCCTCTCCCTGCGTGTGCTCTCTCTCTCTCTATTGCTGTCTCTAAAATAAAAAAAAAAAAAATGGGGGCGCCCGGGTGGCTCAGTCAGTTAAGTTCCAACTTCAGCTCGGGTCACGATCTCAGGTTCGTGGGCTCGAGCCCCACATCAGGCTCTGTGCTGACAGCTCAGAGCCTGGCCCCTGCTTCGGATCCTGCCTCCTTCTTTCTCTGCCCCTCCCCTGCTTATGCTCTGTCTCTCTCTCTCTCAAAAATAAATAAATATTAGAATTTTTCAATAAAATAAATTTAAATAAATTAGTTAAATTGAAATGAATTAATTAAATTTAAATGAATAGATTAAATAATAAAGTAAACAATTAATAATAAGTAATATTAATAAATTAGTTATATTTAAATTTCCTTCCTTTTTTTAAAAAAGGAAGGAAATTCTGGCCCATGCTATAACATGCATGTATCTAGAAGGCATGATGTTAAGTGAAATAAGCCAGACACAAAAAGCAAACTACTGTCTGATCCCACTTACAGGAGGTCTCTAGAGGAGTCAAATCCGTAGAGACAGGAAGTAGATGGCAGGTGCCAGGGGCTGGGGGGGGGAGGGGAGGGGAGGAGAGTCCGTGTTTAACGAGGACACAGTTTCGGGCTCTGGAGATGTTCTGGAGACGGACGGTGGGGAGGGCTGTACAACAACGTGTGTGCACCGAATGCCACTGAGCTGCACACTTCAAAACTGGCCAATGAGGTGCTTCGGATTCTGTGTCTGCCTCGCTCTCTGCCCCTCCCCCGCCCATGCTCCATCTCTCTCCGTCTCAAAAATAAACAGACATTAAAGAAAATAAAAAGGAGCGCCTGGGTGGCTCAGTCGATTAAGTGTCTGACTTCGGCTCAGGTCATGATCTCACGGTTTGTGAGTTCGAGCCCTGTGTAGGGCCCTGTGCTGACAGCTCAGAGCCTGGAGCCTGCTTCAGATTCTGTGTCTCCCTCTCTCTCTTCCCCTCCCCTGTTCACGCTCTGTCTCTCAATTTAAGTTTATTTTTGAGAGAGCGAGCATGAGAGCGAGTCGGGGAGGGGCGGTGAGAGAGAAAATCCCAAGCAGGCTCTGCACTTTCAGAGCCTGATGCGGGGCTCGCACCCACAAACCGCAAGGTCATGACCTGAGCCGAAACTAAGAGCGGGATGCTTAACCCACTGAGCCACAGGCACCCCTCAGTCTCTAAATATCTTTTTTTTCTTTTTAATTTTTTTTTTTTTTTAATGTTTATTCTTGAGAGAGAAAGAGCGTGAGCAGGGGAGGGGCAGGGAGAGAGAGAAAGAGAGAGACACAGAATCGGAATCAGGCTCCAGGCCCTGAGCTGTCAGCACAGAGTCCGACGCGGGGCTCGAACTCATGAGCCATGAGATCATGACCTGAGCCGAAGCTGGGCACTGAACCGACTGAGATGCAGGCGCCCCTCAGTCTCTAAATACCTTACAACTTTTTCACGGGGTCCCAGGGAGGGCTGTGTACGTCAGGTTTCCTTACATCTCCCCCAGTTCATCACGGCCCCAGCGTCGCCCAGCCTGTCCAGCTGGACAGCACCCAGCTCTCCAAGAAGTTCATCAGCGACTATCTCTGGAACTTGGTAGGCACGGACTGGTAGCCCGGAGCCTCAAGGACGCGTCTGCACACGGCACGAGTCAGTGTGGTGGGTGGTCGGTGCCTCAGCGGTGAGAGGAGCTGAAAATTAAATGTTTCTCCAGAGACGGGTTTTGGACCAGATTTCTTTCGGCCCCTGACCACGGCCTCAGTGGCTGGACTGGCCCTGGCCGGGTAACCCTAGAGAACTAACTGGACTTCAGGCTGCTGCTTCGCATCTGAGACGACACTGTGTGAATGGCGCCGCGGTATACGAGGATAAGTCCCAGGGCTCTGTCGTCTGGGATTCGCTCAGGGCCCATCCTCGAGTGCCACCGTGCACCAGGAACTGTGCCGGGTGCCCAAGACACAGACGAAGGGGATGAGGATCCCTTCGGCCGAGGAAGGAGTCAAGTCGGAGCGGATGCCACCCTTGAGCTAGAGAGGGTCAGGAGTGCTAGGGGACCCTGGCCGGGGAGGGGACAGAGACAGGGGCGACTTTTGTGCCAGGACCGGAAAGGACAAGGAGTCGATGAGGAAGAGATTCGGGGCGGGGGGTGGGTTGTGTATCGGAGCCCGCGGGCCACCTCCCTGATCCTGGGCCCCGCTCCCCCCTAAGTAAGGGAGCCCTTGTAGCTTCCTGAGCAAAGCATTTCTCAGCCTCCCTTGCAGCTAAGTGCCGGCCAATGAAATATAAGTGGAAATGTGTGAGACTTCTAGAAGGATCCCTAAAAGGCAAGGGAATATACCCTTTCTTTCCCCTCCCCTCTCTTTTCTGGAATTGGAAGTGCTGACTGGAGCCCTGGCAGTCCCTGACACATGTGAGGAGGGATACAATCCTCTAGGGGTGATGGAAGCCTGGTCCCCTGACGACAGTGGAACTGGGTATCAGCACCGGACTCTACGTGGGGGTGGGGGGGGGGACTAAATTATCTTGTGTGTGCCATTGTTACTTTTTTTTTTATCACAGACAGCTAAAGGAAATCCTAACTGATGCAGCGCACGACCCAGGCCAGTCTGCGTTCACCTAGGCCCCATCCTCTGATTTGGGGTACCGCTAAGAATGGGAAGCTCGTGGGGGCTCCTGGGTGGCTCAGTCGGTTGAGCATCCAACTCTTCGTTTCGGCTCAAGTCGTGCTCCCAGGGTCGCAGGATCGAGCCCTGCATCGGATTCTGCACTGAGCATGGAGCCTACTTGATTCTCTCCCTCTGCCCCTCTCCCCTGCGCTTGCTCTCTCTCTCTCTGTCTCTCTCTCTCTCTCTCTCTCTCTCTCTCTCTCTCTCTGAAAACAAAATGTGAGGCCCCTGGGTGGCTCAGTTGGTTTAGCATCCGACTTCTGCTTGGGTCATGATCTCCAAGTTCATGCGTTCAAGCCCCCCGTTGGGCTCTGTGCTGACAGCTCACAGCCTGGACCCTGCTTGGGATTCTGCATCTCTCTCTCTGCCCCTCCTCTGCTCGCACGTGCATGCACACTCTCTCTCTCTCAAAAATAAACGTTAAAAACAAGCATTTACCAAAATTTATATATATATGTATATGTATACATATATATATAATTTATTATATAATATATATAAAGAAAATGGGAAGCTGAGGGCCAGCCTGGCTGCCTGGTAGACAAGGGGAAGTAGATTTTCCTTGAACCTCGCAGGCTGCCTTCTGGGTACAGCCTTGTCAGTAGGTTTCCTGCACCTCCGTATCACTGAATTGTTTCTAGGAAGTGCAGTGGTACAGTAAGTGTTGTTTTCATCAGGGAGGATGCGTTCTAGGCAGAGGGAACAGTAAGCAGTAAGTTCTAGCAGCATCTGAGCCCATCATGGGCCCTAGAAAGAGTCCATTCAGGTCACCCTTGGAGGTTCTCGGGCAAAGATGCCTGCCTATTGGGCTGTAGGGAGAGGGACCAGTTCATTCGGTTCACAAAGATTCCCAGAACCTCAGAGGCCCTGCTTTCCTGCCCAGGGCTCGGCTTTACATGTTCAAGTAAACGTTCCTGTAAGTCTTCCTGAGCGGTCTTCGTTTGCAAGATCGGTAGGGTCTTTTACGCTATGAAATGGGCACAGAGCCTCCTGTTTGTACCATCGGCCCCCAAAGGGCAGAAGACTTGAACTCAACCGGGGTTTTCCCACCTCGGCCCTAGCGACCTCAGGGCTAGTCATTCTGTGTGGTGCCGGCCGCCCTGGATATTGCGGGACATCCAGCAGCTTTCCGGTCCCCACCCCCTGATTGCCAGGAGGACTCCCCCCTCCCCCCCACCCCCTCCATCACAACAAACGTGGAGCACACACCAGGCAGCCCCCCAGCCCTGCGGCTTCAGCCAAGAACCGGCCAGGCGTCCACACTTGATCGGCCGAGTAGCTGTTGTCACCTTGGTGGCCTTTCCTGCTGACGCAGCTGGCCTCGGCCTGCTCACCTGCGCCCGGGCAGGGGTGGGGGGGATGGGGGGTGGGGGGAGGTGTTGCCAGGAGCACTGTCTGCCCGGGTGGGCCCCCGAGAGCATGCTAGAATAGACCCAGCCCAGCCGAGAGCCGGGGGGGGGGGGGGGGGGCAGGCAATGAGGCTTGCAGCCTCGCGGTTAATCAAACAAACCTGCAGACCATCAAACTTGGCCTGCCTGGGAGAGAAAGCAGGTGCAGCGGGGCAGGATGTTGTTACCGACCAGGCCTATCGGTGCCCCTGGCCCAGGCCCTAAAGCCCTCCGTGGGCCTCCTCTCCCTCTCTGAGCGATCGCTCTTTGTTCTGGGAGGGGGCCAAGGAGGTGTTGGCCTGCTTGGAGCTCAGTTCTTCCCTGAAGAAGGTCCCTCCAGGGAGGCCGCACGAACCCAGGCTCGGAGCGGCTGTGTACGTCTGTCTCCCCAGGCAGCCCCAGGGACTGGCCGAAGGAGTGAGCAAGTGGGTAAGGAACGTGGCCTGGCGGGCGGGTTCAGGGAGGTGCCTGAGCTCACAGGGGCCTGGAGAGGCCCGGGCCCTCCGCATGCCTGGGCTCTGACTCACTGCCCGGCGCTGGCAGGATGCCTGGGACAGCCAGCAGGACAGGCTCAGGCCCACAGCCTCCGGTCTGCACCCCTACCCGTGTCTCTGCCTGTTCTCCCTCCGAGAGCCGCCCAGGCAGCGGTGGTCACCAGCTCTTGAGTCCTGGAGGCCGGTGGCAGGCATGTCGGGTGCTAAGCCCAACCCAGTTGAGTTGGAAGCGAGATTCGGGTCCTCAGGACCAGGGAGTGGGGAGCCAGGTCACTGGTCTTGCACCTTTAGAGCTGAGGCTTGGAGCGCCTGGGTGGCTCGGTTGGTTGGGCGTCTGACTTCGGCTCGGGTCATGATCTCACGGTTTGTGGGTTCGAGCCCCGCATCGAGCTCTGTGCTGACAGCCCGGAGCCTGCTTCGGATTCCGTATCTCCCTCTCTCTCTGCCCCTCCCCTGTTTACACTCTGTCTCTCGCTGTCTTTCAAAAATGAATAAACCTTAAAAAAAATTAGAAAAAAAAAATAGAGCTGAGGCTTGACCCCCTTCCCCCTCCTGCACCCAACCCCCCAGGGCCAGCACGGGCCCCGCACCAGCACAAACCAGTAAGGAATGTTTATCTTACAGATGGCGACACAGGCATGGCACGGTCCAGTCACTTGTCCAAAGTCACCCGTGGAGCCTGAACCCCCCCCACAGTGGGGCTGTTGGGTCCATGGGAGAGCATCTTGGCTTTTCAGATGAGAAACAGCCTCTGGGGTGGTTGCCCCTTATTTAAGGTTGAAAGAGGCCAAGCAAGGACTGGGACTCAGGTCTGTGTTGGTGGAGCCGTGAGGCCGAAGTTCTAAGTCACTAGTGATAGGTGGCGGTGTGTCACATACCGGAATGCCCAGCTGACCTGGCTTGTAATCGGGGAGAACAGCCAGGGAAATGCTGAGTGCGAGCTAAGGCGGTAAAGCCCTAAGGCTGGCTGCCCTCGAGGGTCCCCACCCGGCATCTTCCTCTGAATCGGCTGGCCTTGGTCGCCATGGGCGGGTCGGCCCACCCAGGCTCCCCCATGCCCCATCCTGCTGTGAGCTATGGTCAGACATGTTCCTAGTTTATAGATCGACGGGGTGGGCGAGTGCGTGTGCCCAGGGAACAGGTGTCCGAGGCTGTATTTGAACCTCAGTTGTTGGATGTGAAGCCATGATCTGATCTTTCTGGACTGGCTGGGGACCATCTGGGAAGACTGGCTGCAGGGCGTCGTCATGGCAATCCTTGGGGTCTTGGGGACACTGTGTGTGGCCCTCATTGGGCCTGGGTGGTCCCAAGCTCCCGGCAGCCTGTCCAATTGACTCAGGAATGTGGACTGGGCATCTGTGACCTGCCGGGCCCCCCATCAGGGAGCCACACTCCAGGGGAGGCCAATACTTACTGTGTCACGGAGGAGGAAACCGAGGCACAGAGAGGTCAAGTTATTTGTATATGTTTTCACAGCCAATGAATGGTAGATCCAGGGTTTGAACTGGATCCAGGGTTTGTGTACTTAACTCCAACTTTCAGTTCGCGATACTGTTGCTCTTGGGGGAGGCTCTGTAGGAGGCCCTGGTGAGGTGGTGTCATTGGAGCCCAGACCTGAGCCCCCCCCCCCCAGGGGACAAAAGTGTGGAGACAGTGATCCGGGCAGAGGGAACAAGTGCAAAAAGAACTGGGAGAACTGGGAGGCCTGAACGTTGAGACAGGGGCTCTGTCGATCGCATGGGGTTGGGAGAAGGGAGTGGTTGCTTGATCATGCAGGGCCTGCAGTCCACAGTAAGAGCTGGAGAGACTCTTCAGGTTCCAGGCAGGACCCCAGAGTTGGGGCTCAGGAAAAGGGAGCCTGACGACAGCCTCTTAACACAGGCCACCTTGCAGCAGCCCAGCATCTCTAGGGGGCTAGTCTTGCTGTCGGCCCCAAGCTCCCCGCTCCATCCCGCGTGGCGTGGGAGCAGAGGCTGGGGGAAGCAGAGCAGCTGGGCCTTGGGAGGGCGGGGCTCGGGTGGGAGGGAGCCCCTCCACCCAGGGCAGGAAGCAGAGCTGAAACCTGAACTGCCTGGAGGGGAGGCTGGGTAGGAGCCAGGAGTCCCAGGGGCGGCCCCGCCTCCAACCCCTCCACCCCACCCGGCTGCCCTGCTGGGCAGGGTGGATGATGTGACCAGGGCTCGCCACAGTCGGAGCCCTCGGCCTCTCCTTCATCCCTACATCCGGGAATTCACTTCCTGGGGGAGGGAACGGGGCACTGACTCCCACGGTGGGGAAGGGGCGGGAGGGGGAGGCTGCAGGGGGAGGGCAGCCTCCCCTCTCCCCCATGGACCTGGGCTCAGCCCTGCAGGCTCCAGCCTGACTCACCACAGGCAGCTGTGGTTTGGGCTGCGGGGGGGGGGCGCAGAGGACACGGGTTGGGGTATAAGCTTAGCTGAGCAGCTTCCTCCCACCCCCGACCCTGTCCTGGTCAGAGCTACTGAGCCCCCAGAGCCGGGAGGACAGCACGGCCAGCCCCCTCTACCCTGTGCTGGGGTTGACCGCCCCCAGCTGCAGAAGGCGTCTGGCCCCTGCAGACCCTACACCCCGGTGGCACTGAGCCTGCAGACCAGGGAGCTGGCACCAGGGCAGTCTTACTTGGGGCCTTCCAACGGGGGACCCCATTCTGAGCCCAGGGAATCCGCCTCCCCCCCGCCCCCCGCTCCTCGCAGCCAGTAGGGAGAGGCGACCGTGGCATCTGGGTCCCCCCTCCCTGACCCCTGAGCTCGGTGACCCGAACCTCCCTTTTCCCATCTGTAAAATGGGCGCTTGATACTGTCCTCTCCTCAGAGGGCCACACCAAGGAGCATGTCCCCAAGAAGGGTATGCTCTTGTCATGAAGCTCCGAGTCCCACGTGCCTGTGCCACATTCAGCGATGCGGTGGGAGCGCCCGGGAAGGATTTTAGTCACTGGTCCTGTTTCAACAGAAAACGGGTGGCCTGAGCCAGACACCAGAAACTTCCATCACCTCTGGCCATTCTCACGTGTGCCCTTGGCCCGGGACCCCCACCCCCACCCCCTACCTCCCGCTGCATCCTCGGGCCACCTCCACGCCCCTTCCGTTCGCCAAGCCATTTATGTTCCATTTGTCCCGTTTGCCACGCGGCTGAGCATGAACTCAGTCAATCAACCAATTATCGACCGTCCGTGTGCGGCCCGACGCTTCCTGTGCGGTCTGTTCAGTTTTCACCCCCAGAGGCATTTTGGAACCTTTCCAAGACAAAAGGCGGAAGGAAGGAAGGAAGTGCCACCCTGTGGACACAGAAAAGATAACAGTCCCTGCCGCTCCCGGTGTCCTGCAGGCATGCGCAGAGCCCCCTACACGGCCTGAGGCTGGGAGGTGGGGGGTTAGCATTGACCCCAGTTTCAACTGGGGAAACTGAGGCTCTAATGGGCCCAAGGTCACCCGTCTCCACCTAGGTGGCCCGACCCAGTGTGTTCTCCTTCCCAGCTCAACTGGGTCGCCTGCTCCCAGCCCGTTCCTTCCTGCCTTCCCTTTGCCCTGTGAGACAGGGAACCCCGATCCCGAGGCCCTGCTGAGTTCAGCCAGTTGGGGGCGCTGGTGGGAGAGGGCGCCGGGAGGAGGGGAGACGCCGACTCCCTTTTTCTGCCGTAGACAGTGTCTCCTGGGACACTCCCACCAGCTTCCCTCCTGGGTTCCAGTAACACCAGCCCCACCTTACACTGTTGCTCATTTCTGGCTATCTCATTGTTCTCTTGTTTGGTCTTTATTTTTTAATTTTAGAGAGAGCTCAAGAGCGCTAGTGGGGTAGAGGGGCAGAGGGGGAGAGAGAGAGAGAGAGAAAGAATCTTAAGCAGGCTCCGTGCTCAGCATGGAGCCTGACATGGGGCTCGATCTCACCACCCTGGGATCATGACCTGAGCTGAAATCAAGAGTCAGAGGCTCAACTGAGCCGCCCAGGCGCCCTCCCAATTTCGTGTTCAAAAAAAAAAAAATGATCATTTAGTATTATTTTAAATGGTGTCCCAATACATATAAACATCACATTTGCCATCTTACCCCTGTTTAAGTGTCCAATTCAGGGGCATCAAGTATGTTACCATGGCTGGCATCCCCACCACGCGTCTCCAGAACTTTCAGCTCTTCTCAAGCTCTGTCCCCATGAGACACTAACTCCCCAGCCCCTGGCTCCCACCATCTACTTCCTGTCTCTATGGATGGGACTCCTCTAGGGACCTGGACTGGAACCCTAATCGCGCGAGGTGGCCTGTCATTACGGCTTGCCCCATTTGGTCTGTTATACTTGGTTCCCGGGATTAAGTTCCATCCATTGACCTGCTGTGCTCCTGACTGTACCCCAGCTGCTACGTCTAGACTGTGGTTTGACTTGCCATGTTCAAGGACAGGGGCCCTAATTGCCTCCGGGTCCAGACTCCAGTAAAGCCTGGGTGCACGAGAGAATGGGGGTGCGTGTACCTGGACGCCCACGGCTCTAGCCAGATGTCGCCACAGTGGAATTTGAGGGCAGATTCGCTGGAACTCACGGTTATTTGGATTTGTGTTATGAAATCTCTTGCTTTACATCTTTTAAAATTTTTTTAAATATTTATTTATTTATTTTTTTTTAAATTTTTTTTTCAACGTTTTTATTTATTTTTGGGACAGAGAGAGACAGAGCATGAACGGGGGAGGGGCAGAGAGAGAGGGAGACACAGAATCGGAAACAGGCTCCAGGCTCTGAGCCATCAGCCCAGAGCCTGATGCGGGGCTCGAACTCACGGAC